GATGAGATCGAGGAGGTGTCCCACGAGATGCTGGCCCTCCTCATCGAGAAACACAATTACGTTGCGGTCCTTATATATAAGGCTAAGGATAAGAATAGCGAGAAATTGCTTAAGGAATTAGGTATACATCCGATTCTTTGAGTACCTTGGTCAATTTGAATAACTTTTAATTGATAATAACGGGATTTGACTGTATTTTTCAGAACATATTGACGACGAGTGCGACGAAAAGGGAATCGTTTTCTTGAAAACCGATGACAAGGAAGCGGCCGATAAGTATGGCATCAAAAAGCTACCGGCGATCCTATTTTTCCGATTCCAAGTGCCCACACAATACACTGGGGCTGACCTTATGAACGAGGAACAGGTGCTCAAGTGGTTTGTGTCGCAACAGGAGACCGATGAGATCGAGGACGTCAACAGCCGTACCCTTAAGTCCCTGATTGACAACTCGGACTCATTAGCCGTACTCTTCTACGACAGTTCCAGCACTAAAAGCACCGGGGTCTTAAAGGTAAAGGTGCTAATAACTACATACCTATTACTTAACATACCGTTCCCTTATGGACAGGACTTGGAGGAGATCGACGACGACGCCGAGAAGTATGACATACCGTTCGTGAAGTGCGACGACCTGTCGGTGGCCAAGGAGTTCGGTCTGGACGACGAGCTCCCGATTCTGGTGTACTTCGAGAACCGGTTGCCCACCGTATACGAGGGCGACCTCACGGACGAGGAGGCGGCCCTCCAATGGCTTATTAAACAGAAAACCGAGGATACGGTAGAGGAGGTGACGGAGGAGATACTCGAAGACCTTATTAGGTATGACCTCTCAAAAGTGTCTTTACTCTAAGACTAATCCCTTATTGGCCACAACCTCAGGGAACGGGAGTACGTATTGGTGTACTTCGCGCCCAACAACTGCAAAGAGTGCGACGATATCCTCCACAAAGTCTTGGAGACCATCGACGACGACACCGACGAACACGGGATCCTATTGGTCACCACCGATGACCTGACCCTCGCCAAGACCAAGGCTAAGATCTCGAAGTTCCCGGCGCTGGTACTGTTCCGCAATGGCGAGCCCGTGCAATACAGGGGTGATATGCGCAAACCGGACGCCATCTTGAAATGGGTGACCTCTGAGGAGGCACTGGACCGACCGGATCAGATCGAAGAGGTCAACGACAAGATGTTGAATAAGATGCTGGAGAAGAGCCCATACGTGGCGGTGCTCTTCACCAAAGACAAGTGCTCCGAGTGTGACAAAGCCCTACAGGTATGGGTGCCCATCACTACCCGGGAATATTAGGGTGTTTTTGGGAACTCATTATTTGATTTGTTAGGAACTCGAGAATATCGACCATTTGGCGGAACAGGAGGACATCGACTTCGTGAAGGTCAGGGACCCCAAAGTGGCCAAAGAGTACAATGTGATGACATTCCCGGCGCTCATGTACTTCCGGAACCGATTCCCGCAGTTCTATGAGGGGAACCTCAGGGATGAGGACACAGTACTTAAGTGGCTGTTGGATAATAAGGAGGCCAAAGAGGATGTCATCGAAATGGTGGACAGGCATATGCTGGAAGTACTTCTTGATGACATCGACTACATCGCCGTGTTTTTCTACGATGAGGACGACTGTCCAGACTGTGAGGCCATACTCAGGGAACTGGAGAACATCGATGACGATACCGACAAACACGGCATACATTTTGTACGTATGGCAGAGCACCTCATAATACTGTCTAAAAACTGATTACTATTTACTGATAACTGATTTCAGGTGAAGACATCTGATGATGAATACGCCAAAGAGATAGGGATCAGTCAACTGCCAGCCCTCGTGTACTTCGAGCACAAGTCTCCCTCCATATACGACGGCGACCTCATGGAGGAGGAGGAGCTGTTGGAGTGGCTGATCCGACAGCGAACAGAGGATACCATTGAAAACGTGAACCGAGACATACTGTTCCGTATGATCGCTGAGAAGGAATACCTGGCCGTCTTCTTCTACCGGTCGGCACCGGGAGGTGACGACGAGTCCGACGAGATTATCGAGCACTTGGAGCGTATCGACGATGACTGCGCCGACTATGACGTCCATATGGTTAAGATCTCCGACAACCTCATCGCCAAGAAGTATGGCATACGTGCGCCGCCAGGGCTCGTGTTTTTCCGGAGGGGAAAGCATATCAAGTTTGATGGCGATCTGTTTGATGAGGAGGAGGTGCTCGAGTGGCTCACCCGACCCGAGAATATGGAACTGTCGGATGCCATCGAAAAAGTTAATAAACGTATGTTTGAGCGTATGTTAGGCCGTACGGTATACCTGGCCGTCCTATTCTACAGTAAGGCTGACTGTAAGCAATGCGATAAAGTGCTCGAGGAGTTGGAAAGGGTAGGTGGGAGCTCCTGTACACACAAGTGTATTGATTTTGTATGTGTTCTGTGATTAGATTGACGACGAGGCCGATGGCGCCGGTATTAAGTTTGTTAAGATAGACGACACACAACTGGCCAAAAACTATGGTGTGTTTGCACTCCCGGGGCTCGTATTCTTCAAGAAGGGAGAGGAAGAGGAGCCCATTATTTACGCCGGTATTCACTGATTGAATGGATTTTTGAAAACTGTTAAAAACTTTATAACTTGCCTAGCTAACTATTTAAGACTATTTAATAGTATGTTAATTGCCTAGCTAACTATTTAAGACTATTTAATATATCAATCGTATGCTAATTGATTAATGATTATTTGTATTTTTAGGTGATTTGAAAAAGTCCGAGAAAATACTGGACTGGCTCATCAACCAAAAGGACCCGTCTCTCGATAAGATCGAGGACGTGGACGCACCGGCACTCAGGAAACTCATCGAAAACTCCGATCATTTAGCCGTTTATTTCTGTGAGTCTATGGAAACATAATTATTTTGAAACTTATTTTTCTATCAATTTTTATGGAAAACTTATTTTAAGCCNACCCGTCTCTCGATAAGATCGAGGACGTGGACGCACCGGCACTCAGGAAACTCATCGAAAACTCCGATCATTTAGCCGTTTATTTCTGTGAGTCTATGGAAACATAATTATTTTGAAACTTATTTTTCAATCAATTTTTATGGAAAACTTATTTTAAGCCGTTTTTGTGCGGTTTGTTTTCTGAGTGATTATTATTTATTATTTATTTATAATGTATTTCCCTTATGAGTTCCGCGATGGGAAAGGGGTTTTGTTTTTTAATGAGATATTTTTATCCTAAAAAATGGTTTTTACTTTACTTTTAGTTTTACTTTTAGTCTCCATCTCTCATATGAATATAAATTGTGTATTAATTTTGTTTGTGTTTTGTTTAGAGGTTTATACACGAAAAAAGTCTCCGCTATTTATTCATTAATCAAATCAATTACATATGAAATACATATACATTGTATGTTATGTTCACTGAATTCTGTGGTTTTAATATAAGCTATAATATAAGAAAAACATAAGAATTTTTACTCATTATTCTTGTTATTATAGTTTTTATTTGTTTTTCAAATAATCAGTACATACGGTAATATAACAGGACAGCCGGGTGTGGACCCTATAGGATAAAGGGATTAAAGTATAAGACTTATAAAACTTTTGCTACAACTTATAAAATATTTTATTTTATGTTTATTTTTTGCAACGGTATATATTTGTGTGAAAAGTAATTAATTTTATGATTAGATTTTTTTATACTGAAATGCTTTTTTCATGTAATATAACAGTAAATGAAAAAAAGTTTTTCTAACCAAAGGATTATTTGGTTAACAAAAAAAGCAAAGTTTTACATAAAATTCATGTATAAAGTATTTCCTTATAAAAAGTAATCACAACTTATGTAACAAACAAAAAAAGTTTTTATTTAAACATGAGATTAGATGAGACATTTTAATTAATTATAATATATTTTCTCGGATATAATAAGCACTAAAATATAATGTTATACTAAAAATGATAGATAAATACATTGCATATAAAAATATGGTCACGAATTGATATACAAATTAAAAAACAAAATATCTTTTCAATCAAATTTTTGGCTCAAATATATGATATATTATATTATTATGAAAAGAAAGCTTATTTCATATTATAATTAATGAGAATTTTGCGAATAATTTTACTTTTTGTTATACATTATAATTTTTATGCATATTTATTGCACAATAAGCTGTATATTAATATGATAATTAATGAATTTTAATATATTATATAATCAATCCATTACTTACTCAATCATCTTATACTAAAGGGGGTGTCAGACACTAAAAGTTGCCGCATATCGGGGGTGTATAGTATTACTTGTATGTAGTAAAATAATTTAAATAGGAATCCAAATTTAATAAATAAAATAAAACTATCTAAAATGATAAAGATACATTTTTATCCAATATATGTTGTAACCATTTCATATAAATTGTATTTATTTTGATCACTGATTTTCTCTCTTTTCTCTCATCACTCGATTTTTTGAATCCCAAACCAATGCCTATATTTTGTGCCACAAAACCGATGTATTGCCAAAACCCCTACTCTTAAGACGAAAAGGATTTTTGTGCCAATTGTGCCCAAAAGGGGGACAAAAATGGTTTGAAAGGTAGTGAGTAGTCATATATACATTCAATTTAATTCAATTATTTTTAATCTTGTTTATCGTAAACCCAGTACAGTTTATTTTGTTTTATATTATTTTGTGCTTTCTTATTTATTATTTTCTCATTTGCATTAGAAATTAATATATTGCATACCTGTGTCTAAAACGTCTTATCATTCACCACAGAATGGTTAATAATAAGCAAGGCATTATATT